CCAGCCAATCAGCCCAGGGAGGTTTTTAATGAGGACTGCTTAATCACAGAGCGGTCAAGGCTGTTGGAGGGGTGTTTCACTGTTGACCCGGCCTTATAAGAGCTGGTTTGAGCAGCCGTGGGCTGGCAGAGCAGGGAGGACGGGGAGAACCCAGCCTGAGACGCAGGGTTGGGGAGGGGTTTTACACCTCTCTCCTGCCTGCTGTAGCAAGAGCTGAATTTCACAGAGGATACAGCGACGCGGCTCAGCTACGAGCACCAGCGGCACGGACATGGATTGCGAGAGGTGCCAGTGCCACAGCGAAGACAAGCGCACCGCCATCCTCTACACCATCCTCAGCCAGAACCTCAACCAGAGCCGGGGCGGCCGCGGCCCAGCCCACCAGCGCTGCCTCTGCCACCAGCGTCGGACCGTCTGCCTCCGCACGCCCCACGTCACCTGCCAGGCGGCCTCCAACGTGCTGGTAAAAACCGTCAGCTTCATGAAAAACCTCCCTTCCTTCCACCTGCTGCCGCGAGAGGATCAACTCCTGCTGCTGGACAGCTGCTGGGTCCCCCTTTTCCTCCTGGGGCTGGTCCAGGAGATGGTGACCTTCGAGGTGATGGAGACCCCGGCTCCCAGCATGCTCAAAAAGATCCTCCTCGATGGCCAAAGCGAACGGCAGGAGCCCGAGCGGACGCAGCCCACGCTGGCTGCCGTGCAGCGACTGCAGTGCTGCCTGAACACGTTTTGGAGCCTGGACCTGAGCCCCAAGGAATACGCCTACTTGAAGGGAGCCATTCTCTTCAATCCTGGTGAGTGCCCAGCCCCCGCAGCTCTGCCCGCCGTCCGCCCGCGCACGTTAGCAGCTGAACACACACCCTGTGGCCTGCAGAGCATGGGGAGGGCTGGTTACCTTATCATAGAATCACAGAATCATAGAATGGTTTGGGTTGGAAGGGACCTTAAAGATCATCTAGTTCCAACCCCCCTGCCATGGGCAGGGGCACCTTCCACTAGACCAGGTTGCTCCAAGCCTCATCCAGCCTGGCCTTGGACCCTCCCAGGGATGGGGCATCCACAGCTTCTCTGGGCATCCTGTCCCAGTGCCTCACCACCCTCTCTGTGAAGAATTTCTTCCTGATATCTAATCTAAACCTCCCTGATTTCAATTTGTACCCATTACCCCTTGTCCTATCACTACAGGCTCTTGTAAAAAGTCCTCTCCCAGCACCCTTGTAGCCCCTTCAGATACTGGAAAGCTGCAATGAGGTCTCCTCGGAGCCTCCTCTTCTCCAGGCTGAACAAGCACAATTCTTGCAGCCTTTCATCATAGGAGAGGTGCTTATCCTTAACACCGATCGTTACTGAGAAGCGGGAAGGAGGGATGTCAAAGGTAGTGATAAAAGCCACAGACCTTTGCCTGCCCTGCAGACAATAAAGGACCCCAGGGATTTAATTTGTGAACTGTGTCTTTACCCAATTAACTATTGCCCCCTCCGCATGGCAGCCCTGAAATCTCGGTGGTGCTGTCTACATCTCATTAGCATGGCCTGAGATTGCTTCTGAGAAATGGGAAAGGGTAGGAACGGGAGAAACCTGGGGCTGTTTTCCAGCCTCTCTCATCACTGGCTTTTCCTCCTCTTCCTCGGCAGATGTCCCCGGACTGAGGGCTTCCCTGTACATCGAGAGCCTCCAGCGGGAAGCCCAGAGAGCGCTTCAGGAGGTCCTGCAGCCCCTGCACCCTGAGGACCAAGGCCGCTTTGCCCGCATTTTGCTGGTAGCCTCCACTTTAAAATCGATCCCTCCCGCCCTCATCACGGATCTCTTCTTCCGACCGGTCATCGGCAATGCGGACATCGTCGAGCTCATCGCGGAGATGCTGTACGAAATAACCGTCAGGCAGCTGCCTCCGGCGGCACGCATGGGGTGCTGAGCAGCCGCGCTGGACCGCCGGCCCCGTGGATGCTCCTCACGCCTCGCCGGGCAGCAAAGCCAATCTGGGAGCGGGGATTTAGCAAGAGAAACGCTCTGGACTCTGTGGGGAGCTGCGTTATTTCGGTCGGGCTGAGGTCGGAGATTCAGCCAGGCCGCAGCTGAAACGGCTCCGCTTCAGCAGATGTTTACAGCAGCTCCGCCTGTGCCGGTCCCTGTTTCACGGAGCGTGTCTGGGGGTGACGGGTTTTTTCCCCGTTGTGTATCCGGAGCCGCGCAGCCGCCTGCAAACAAACCACCGAGCAGGTCAGGCTAGAGCCCGATCCCATTTTTTTACTCAATGAATCCTTGGTCTCCGTGAAATCGATGTGCGTTTTGCTGTTAACTCCAAGGGATGAGGATTGTCCTCAACCAACAGCTTGATTCGGCGCTGGCGAGGCATGCCAAGTGACGTGCCTTTGGTGGGATTGCTTACCAGGAGCAAACATGATGGAATTAGGTCTGGGTGAAGCCTTGCTCTTGTTTATTGTGCTTGAAATCTTAGAAATATTCACTCCGTGAAATCGATGTGCGTTTTGCTGTTAACTCCAAGGGATGAGGATTGTCCTCAACCAACAGCTTGATTCGGCGCTGGCGAGGCATGCCAAGTGACGTGCCTTTGGTGGGATTGCTTACCAGGAGCAAACATGATGGAATTAGGTCTGGGTGAAGCCTTGCTCTTGTTTATTGTGCTTGAAATCTTAGAAATATTCAGGAAGAATCTTCCTCGGGCACTGAGAGGGAGAAGAGACAGAGAATTAAATCCCACAGGGTGTGCAGATTCACCCCTCCTCCCTTAGACTGTAGCTTTTCTCCGCAAATCCCGCGCCGTCCAACCGCTCGCAGAGCAACCCGAACCTATCGCACATCATCTTGGGCCCGTGGGCTCACACCCCGGTGCGACACCCGGTGAACCCCGAGCTGCGACCGCCGCAGGGACGAGCGGAGCTGCTTCCGTGCTAAAACCCAACGTCCCTCCCTGGAGTTACGTCAGGTGTGCGCGTGGCAACGCCCGGAGAGCTTGCTCCTCTGGCCTGCAGCTTCTGCAAGGGGTTAACGACAGTATTTTATAAGCGAACGTTCTTGTGGTTTGTATATAAGATGCGGTAAATTATTTTTTTAATAAAAAAGTTGACGTTTTGGAACACGGCGGTGACTTTTTCGAGATGGTGTTAAATTTCGGCGGGGTGGGTTTAGAAAACAAACCGGCTGCAGGCCTGGCATGGAACATCCGGGAGTTGTGCCTTTCTCCCTTGCCACCTTGCCCCGAGGGCTCCTGGCGCAGCAGCGATGTCGGAGGTGGATGCTCCGACTCGCCTGGACGAAGCTGCCAACAGGCACAAACACCATCCCGTTTGCTGTGCCCCATGCGGCCGAGGGGTTGGGTAAAGCCACCCGGAGCCTCCCTGTGCCCCATCTCCCTCCCCCTCCATGGAAACACTTGGAAAGTCAGCCAGCAGCCCAGCGGGAGGAAGGACTGCCTTGTCCGTCTGTCCCTTCACCTCACCCCTCGCTGCCCCCGAAACGTGACGGGGGGCCCCACAGACAGCCGTTTTCCACAGGGAGGGAGCGCGTGAGTCACCGGATGATTTCCGCAAGCCCACGCCAGCCACGGGCAGCCCCGAACCACGCGGCCCGGTGACGCGTGCGTGACTCACGGCACACGGCGTGCCGCCCAGCCCCGCTGCCAGAGTTACCCCGAACCAGGCACGCAGATGCCTCAGTGCAGGGGACAGCC